TTTGATATATTGTTATCACAATATATTAATATAAAATATATAGTACCTTTGAAAAAGACAGTATAGAAAGTACCACGGTATTACCTTAGGATCATGTCTTCAGAAATGACAAATTTCAGGTGAGAGGGTATGCTAACTAATCAGAATACAAGTAAAATGTCAAAGTCTAGGCTTCTGGAAGGAACATGTTTTTTAAATGAGTAAGAAACAAATGGGGGTAGTAGTGTGAATAGAAAGTTAGATAGGTCTGTGAAAGTTTTCTGAATGCCCTGGTAGAATGGTTACTGAAGGTAATGAAAAGAACAGTTTTAATGAAACTGCTGAAAGTTAAATAAAGTTGTTTAAAAAATATATTAATTCAAAAGAATCCAGAGAGAAAGTAAGAAAGTGGTGACTGTACAAGCCAATGCTTTTGGGGTAGCTCCTCACAATTTCCATATGTGTTCCATGTACTAGGGCCCTGAAAGAAGCATCTTGTTTAAGGAGTCATTTTACTTCTTTTCTTTTGATATATATTAGATATATTGCTATCCTGCAAATACATTTATTGGACACTAAAAAAGTAACAGTTTTTAAGTCTTTCAATATGTTTACCAAGCTCAACTACACTTCATTGTATTTCTAAGTAATATTTTCTGCATAAAATGTAGGTATATATTTCTTGGTATGTAACTTTGCTTCTTACATTACTAGCTCTCTGGCCATAATTAAGCCATGCCATTTCCATTCATTAATATCACATGCAAGGAAGTCTTGTTGTTGTTGTTATTGTTATTGTTAGGTGCTGTCCAGTCGTCTCTGACTCATAGCGAGCCTATGCACAGCAGAACAAAACACTGCCCAGTTCTTGGCTAACTCTGCAATCCTTGCTATACTTGAGCCCATTGCCACAACCACTATGTCAATCAATCCATCTCCTTGAGGGCCTTCCCTTCTTCTGTCTACCCTCCATTTTGCCAAGCATGACATCCTTCTCCAGGGAATGGTCCTTTCTGATAACATGGCCAAATTAGGTGAGATGAACTCTGGCCATTCTCGCCTCCAAGAAGCATTCTGTCTGCACTTCTTCCAGTACATATTTTTTAGTTCTTTTAGCACTCCATGGTACTTTCACCGTTCTTCACCAGTACCACAACTCAAAAGCATCAACTCTTCTTCGGTCTTCCTTATTCATTGTCCAGCTCTCACATGCATTTGAAGCAATTGAAAATGCCATGGCTTGTGTCAGGCACACATTAGTCTTCAAGGAGATTTTTCAGTGTTTTTCAGCACTTGAAAGAGGTCCTTTGCAGCTGACTTGCCCAGTGCTATATGTCATCTGATGCCCTGATTACTGCTTTCATTGTGTTGATTGTAGATCCAAGCAATGAGAAGTCTTTGACAACTTCAATCTTTTCTCCCTTTATTGTGATGCTGCTTATAGGTCCAGTTGTGAGGACTTTTGTTTTCTTTATATTGAGATGTGATCCATACTGCAGACTGTATTCTTCAATCTACATCAGTAAGTGCTTCAAGTCATCTTCACTTTCAGTGAGCAAAGTTGTGTCGTCAGTGTATTGCAGGTTGTTAACAATTGTTTTTTCAATCTTTATGCCACATTCTTCTTCATATAGTCCAGCCTTTTGGATTATTTTCTCAGCATACAGATTGAATAAGTATGCTGAAAAGATACAACCCTGACACACTGACTTCCTGATTTTAAACCATGCAGTGTCCCCTTATTCTGTTCAAATGACAGCCTCCTCCTCTATGTACAAGTTCCTTATGAGTTCCTAAGTCTAAGTGAAGATAATTCAAAAATGGTTGCAGCAATATATTCACAGAGAGCTTCCAGAAATGCAAGCTGGATTTGGAAGAGGACATAGAACACAAGATACCTTTGCTGATGTCAGATAGATCATAGCTGAAAGCAAAGAATACCAAAAAGATGTTTACTTATGTTTCATTGACTATGCAAAAGCATTTGATTGTGTTGATGATTACAAATTATGGACAGCATTGAGAATAATGGGAATTGCAAAACACTTGATTATACTCATGAGGAACCTGCACATAGATAAGGAGGCTGTCATTTGAACAGAACAAGGGAATACTGGATAGTTCAAAATCAAGAAGGGACTGTGTCAAGGTTGTATCCTTTCACCAAATTATATTCAATTTTTTATGCTGAACAAATAATGTGAGAAACTGGGTTATATGAAGAAGAAGTTACATTAGGATGGAAGGAAGACTCTAAAAACTTGTGATATGCAGATAACACAACTTTGCTTCCTGAAAGTGAGGATGACTTGAAGCACTTACTCATGGAGATAAAAGATTACAGTCTGCAGCATGGATTATACCTCAAAATAAAGAAAACAAAAATCCTCACAACTAGCCCAATAAACAGCTTCATGATAAATGAAGAGAAGATTGAAGTTGTTAAGGTCTTCATATTACTTGGTTCTACAATTAACCAATGGAAGCAGCAGTCAAGACATCAGATGATGTATTGCATTGGGCAAATCTGTTGCAAAAAGACCTCTTTTAAGTGATGAAGAACAAAGATGTCTTCTTGAAGACTAAGATTCACCTAACCTAAGCCATGGTATTTTCAGTCACCTCTTATGCATGTGAGAGCTGGACAATTAATAAGGAAGACCAAAGAAAAGTTGATGCTTTTGAGATGTTGTATTGGAGAAGAATGCTAAGAGTACCACAAACTGCTGAAAGGACTAACAAATCTGTCCTGGAAGAAGTGCAGCCAGAATGCCCTTGGAAGTGAGAATGGCCAGACTTTGTCTCCCCTACTTTGGTCATGTTGTCAAAAGGAACCATTCCCTGGAGAATGATATCATGCTTGATAAAGTGGAGGGTCAGCAACAAAGGGGACAGCCCTCAAGGAGATGGATTGACACAGTGGCTGCAATGATGGTCTCAGGTATAACAAGGATGGTGAGGCTGGTAGAGGACTGGGCAGTGTTTTGTTCTAATGTGCATAGAGTCACTATGAATCAGAGATGACTCAATGGTACCTAACAAGAATATTTCCAATCAGCCTCTGTATGATTCTTCCATAAGCAGGTAAAGGAAGGAAATTTGACAAATCAGGTTTCCACGTGGAATCTATCATTTGGAGATTTTTGACTAGCAAAATTTTAATTAGTACTTAAAACCTTTTATATTTTGAACAATATTTGTAGATCTTCTCTTAAATTCTTAACTTTATCAAGAGTTATAGGCCTCATCTTATATGTAGAAATTTCCACAACTCCAAGTTTCTGCAGTTTGGACGAACTTTTAGTCCTGGAATTTTATGAAATGTATCATAATAATTCATTTGATATGTCTCAATTTCTTACAAAGTAATGTCTCTTAGACTCACTCACGTGCACACAGAGTCTCATGTTTAGTAGGACTACATGCATACCATAAGCAGAAAATCTTTTTCTGTAGAGATATTTATTTGGATATACAGACAAGGGGATAATGTTTGTTTTCATTTTTTTAAAATTTTATTTTGTTGCTCAAAGCAAATATTCTTTACTAATTAAGTTAAACTAATGTTGAGTTTGAAGATGACTTTAGAGGATAGCTTTATTTTATGGTTTGAAGATTACCTCAGGGAAATAGTTGTTGGGGTCATCCAGCCTCAATGGCTCCAGAAACCCTGGATCCCACGCAAATGTGGAATCTGCTCCATATTAACCCCTGCCTTTGACCCAGACTCTTTTATAGCATCTTTAATCAAAATGGTCAGTAATTGTAGCCTGGCCCTATCTGATTTTTATGGTCTCATAACAAAGGAGACAGTTGTTCATGGAGGCACTTAGCAAGCCTTCCAGGTTCTGACAAGGAGGACTTTTCATTAGAAATATTTATCAATACTTTGGGACTTTCACATTCTTGGACTACATGGGAATTGAGAAACAGGAAAAGTAGATATTTAAAAAGCAAATTATGAAATTAGGGTACATATGCCAGATTCATGATACCAGGCAGACCATGAATCTTAAAAAGGATAGCAGGCAGTTATTAAAAGACAAAGTGTGTGCAAGACTCAAAACAGCTACTCATGATGCTGATAACAAAAGGAATAGATTGTAGTTGCTTTGTTCTTCACTGCAATTAGATAGTATGTATATTAGACCAAGAGGCAGACTAAGTCTACAGCTTTGATTCAGGTCTTTGCAGAAAGTACGACTGACCTTACATCATCTCATTAATAGGTAATATCCTTCTTTGCAGTTTTTAAATCATTTGACAGACTGAAGGAACAAAATCTTCCAACTTCTTTGTTTTGTTTTTAGCAGTTATGGTCAAAGTTTGCTCTATAGTTATACTACACTGTACATTTCAAGATCACATTATATGGAGTAAATTAGCCTGTTATTGATAATGTGGCATATACTGTCATTAATATTGACAAGCTTCATTCTTATGTTTTAGAATTACGTTATGTTATTCTGAATTCCTATTTCTATAGTCATACGACCTATGTATCAGAGGATTATCAAAACACTGATTACATTATATTTTGACTTGACTGTTAATTATTGTGTGCATGTACATATATGTGGTTTTATGCCTGTGTTTCCACATGTGATTTCAATTTCCTTATGAACAAAAGCCATGGCTTTTTTTTTTTAAGAACTGTTATATCCAGTAGCTAACAATATTTAGGTACAAATATGGAGTCATTTTGTTTCTAACTGCTCCTTCAACAGGAGTTAAAAGTGACAGTGAAGAATTGACTAAAATTTCAACAATAAATTAAATAAATAAAAGGAATCAGTCTTCTTATTTGCAGATGCAGACCTTGGGACTACTAATGGTGAAGTGAATTATTCAAGTACTTAAGTAGGCTAAGGAAAAGAGATGTTTTCAATAGGCAATCACAGAGTGTATCTGGAATTCTTTCATACAGGACCATGGAAGAGTCACTCTGTCATTCTGCTTTCTTCCCAGAGCGGATTTGCCTGGCTACTTTGTATACCAGCATAAAACTCACCACTTTTAACATGGCAGACAATGCTACACGCCACTACATCTCATCTTTCTTCCTCATTGGTATTCCTGGTTTGCAAGATTTTCACTGCTGGATTGGCCTTCCTGTCTGCCTCTTGTTTGCCCTCACTCTGCTGGGGAACAGTGTCATCATTGTTACCATTAAGCTAGAGCCAAGCCTCCACCAGCCTATGTATGTCTTCCTTTGCATGCTGGCAATGAATGACGTGGCTCTTGCATTGTCCACAGCTCCCAAGATGCTTGGCATCTTCTGGTTGGATGGCCACTGGCTTGACTTTAATCTCTGCCTAGCACAAATGTACTTCATCCGCACATTTTGCATAGTTGAGTCAGCCCTCCTAGTTGCCATGGCCTTTGACCACTATGTAGCTATTTGCATCCCTCTGCGTTATACAACTATCCTAACTACACCCATGGTAATCAAGATGGGGTTAATTGGTATAACTCGAGCTGTACTTATGGTTTTTCCCGGTCCTTTTCTCATTAAGAGACTTCCCTATTACTCTAAATATGTCATCAATCATGCATATTGTGAGCACATGGCTGTGGTGAAGTTGGCTAATGCCAATACCCATGTTAACAGAGCATATGGTATCTCTGTGGCCCTTTCAGTGATGATGTTGGACCTAGGTCTTATAGCCACATCCTATATCAAAATCCTCCAGGCAGTCTTCCGTCTCTCTTCCCAGAATGCCCGCTCTAAAGCACTGGGCACCTGTGCTGCCCATGTCTGCACCATACTCGTTTCCTACACCCCTGCACTGTTCAGCTTCCTAACTCACCGCATTGGCAAGAAGGTACCCCCAAGTGTCCACATAATTTTTGCAAGCGTGTACCTTGTAGTGCCCCCCACAGTCAACCCGCTAGTCTATGGTGCCAAGACCAAGCAGATTCGTGACCAAGTGGTGGGTCTCTTCTTACCCAACAGAAAAAATTCCAAAAACTGAAAAAAACTTACTTACTGGTCCATGTTGGTAGAATCTGGCTCATGTAGTCATGATATAGTGATTAATAGTTGTAACCCTGTCCCTAACCTTTTATTTCACAATTAAGCTATGCCTCATAGCAGGGACATATGATGTCGTGTATTTACTTTTTCCTTCCTCTCTTTTCCTTTTTTCATGTTTTCAGGTTCTTTCTTTTAGAAACAAAGTAAGCTTTCAAGGAATGTGATCAGTTATCTTTATTTATTAACAAAAAATGTGATTGGGGTGATAGGGGTTTTGATACGATATGTGAGATACATAAGTCCCCAAGTGCACTCTGGTGGAAGGATTGGTGCCATTAAGCCCATTTTATCTGATTCATACAATTATACATGTCCCTGTCAGGCAGCAACACATACTATTACTGGAATAGCCATTTCTCACAAAAACTGATAGACTGAAAATGTTGGTTGGTAATATATATCCCACAGATCACAAAAGGGTTAATCTACAAGCATATTAGATACAAGTCAATGTTTTTCTCATTGTACCAATTAGGAAACTGAGGCACAGAAAGGTTGTGTAATTTTCCCAAAGAAATTCCCTTAGAAAATATCAGAATAGAATTTTAGCTCAAAGACTGTGGCTTTAGAATACATGCTCTTAACCACAACACACTATATTGTCTGTTTTCACAGAAATCATAAACTTATTATTTACTTTATGAATAAGAAATATATTCCTTTAAATATTTTATATTTTTATTCCCTTACTTCTGAAATTCTTCTTTTTGATAATATGGTAGATTTCTTTACCCTCCCTAAAACAATGTACGTAATATATTCTATTACAATATTTTGGCAAAATTCCAACCATGAATTATGCCCCTTTGTCTAGAGAAATGTTCTATCAGTGCATCCTGGTAGCATTAAGATAATGCTTTCCACATAGGAATTGAACTTAAAGACTGAAAAACCGACTTATTCACATGCAGTTCTCTCTTTCTTTAGCTCGATGAACATAAATTTTTGTCCCTTTAATTAAATAAAATTGAAAATATACCTTATATTCATCTAAACTTTTTTTTTTTTACTTAATAACATTGATTTCATTTTGCATGGAGTGCTGAAACTACCTGTAGACATATGTACAAATGACCTATTCAAACACTATTTTGCCCACTGTTGGTTTATATCTAGATAGACCAATATTTTATTTAAATGGACAGGTGGCGAATACTTCAACTCTGTGGACTAAATAACTTCTGTGGTAATTATTCAGCTTTACCAACATAGTGAAAAAACACCCGTATAGAATATATAATTGAAAGAGTATAGCTATGTTCTAATAAAACTTTAATTTCTGAAAGGCAATATGGTGTATTTAGCCCGTGTTTATAGTTTGTTGTATAAACCTGACATATTCATATTCTGTGTGGTTAATAAAATGTAATGTTACTTACTGTCATTGAGTCAGATCCAACTCATAGGGACCCTTCCTTGGGTTTCTGAGGCTGTATCATGACGGAAGTAGATTGCCCAACCTTCTCCCAAAGAGTGGCTGGTGGGTTTGAACTCCCAGCCTTCTGGTTAGGAGCCAAATGCCTTAGGCACTAAGCCACCAGAGCTCCCAAATGTAATGTTAAACTCTAGTAAAAAGTGTTTCAATTTATTTAATACATTTTGCACTAGATTATCACCTGGAGCCACCTCATGAAACATAAACGTTGATTCAACTATCACCATTTTTAATTTATATTGGAATCCTCATATGTTGTTATATTTTATGTGACTCCACTGCCACTGCAAGAAGGGGTCGCTATGAGTCGGGGCCGACTCGACGGCACATAACAACAACAACAACAACAACCACTGCCACTGAGCTGGGCGTAGTTTTTAACTTAATTCTTTACTTTTACTTCTAAAGGATAGGGTGTTATGATCATATGAGGTTATGTTTATGACTGATTTTGAGTAGAGAAACAGTCTTCACCTTGAACTGCAGTCTTAATGAGAAGAAGGTTTCATTGGTTCCTAAGCCTTTATGGAAATAAGCTCTCAGAATTTATCAAGCTGGAAATTACAGGGTTTCTTAACTGAGAATCTGAATTCAAGGGAACAAACTTCAAGAAAGGCTCAGTGGAGCTTGAGTATAGAGAAATTTGCATTCACTTAAGTTAAGCTCTTGGGGAGTTGATTCACTTTAAGATGATCTCTCCATTAATCCACTGGCAACATCTTTATTCATTGTCAGTCTTGTCACTTATATGCTAATGAAAAGCATTTAACATAAATCTTACAGGTATAAAGTACTCATTGGTAGATCCTTAAAGAATTTGAGCTCCTAAGCCAATGCTCCCTTATGGGGATAAGAAAGAAAAAGTCAGAAGGTTAGGAGGAGAATTTATTCAAATACTCTAGAGTTATTTTTATCATAAGGAGCCCTGATGGTGCAATGATTAAGAGTTTGACTTGTAACTTGAAACTTGGTGGTTCAAACCCACAGTGTGGCTTGGTAGGAGAAAAGACCAGGCAATTTGCCCCCATAAAGATTTTGGCATAGAAGACCTCATGTGGCAGTTCTACTCTGCCCTATAGGGTGACCATGAGTTAGAATCTGTTTAATGGCAAACAACAACAACAACAACACTTTTATCATACAATAGGATACAAAATACATTGAGAAGATGTGTTCCTTGGCAGCATCAGCAACAGGTCAGGTTTAAACATCATGCATTGCTTCTTTGGTTGAATAATCCTATTTTTTTCTTGAAAAATCAGAATATTCAAGTGCATCCAATGACTTACTCAACATCACGAGGATAGATGGATATACAATCATGGGTATTCAAGAAAAAAATGGCAAAGTAGTTTTAGCTTTAAAGGGAAAAAGTGCTGGTTTTGTTTTACTGAGAGTTGTGGATAGAGGTATTAATTGCAATGTGTTGAGGAAGTTAATGTGAATCATGTATTGCCTATCAGGTAAATCAAACTCTTGGAACATTATGATGTTATTATAGCTTGTAATTTGAGTTTTCCAGACAGGTTCAAGGTGACTATCTCATTAATTCATCTATCCAATAAAAATATTTTGAGTATCATCTATCTGAC